TTTCAAAAAACGCATATTGCGACGACCCCGTCTGTGTGTGTGTGTGTGTGTTCGTTTGTCCGGGTATTTCAACTTGGCAACCAAGCAAGTTTCAGCGCCGAGATTTTGCTAGTGGGTACCCCGGCCAAGTATCACCCCAGAACCGCGGTATCACCCCTCACGCACGTCTGGGCCCCGCGTACGAGGGAGTGAAAGTTTTGGCGTGAAAATTGATAACTTGGGCAAGAGAAAAGATAGAAGGCTGAAATTTTGGGAATGTGTGCCCATACCATGCGCGACCCTCACATTTTAATATCATCCCCTGCGGACGCCTGGGTGTCGCGTACGGACACTTTAAAAAAATATGCAAATTTTTTGGCGGGAAGGCGATCTCGGGAACCACACGAGTTAAGGGGCTAAAACTTTGTAAAGATATCCCCTGTGCATGTGCTGGCTAAAGATTTCAAATCCAGCCCCCTGGCATGCGTGTTACTCACGTAAGAGCGTATGAAAGTTTTAGGGGGAAAATTACTAACTTGACAACCAGAAAAGCTGGAAGGCTGAAATTTTCAGGGAATATTCTCAGCCCATATACGACTTAAAGTTATGAAATTCAACCCCCAGTCATCCGTGGTTCTCGCGTATGGCCCCGTGAAATTTTTTGACGGGAAAATGGCTAACTCGAGAACCAGAAAAGTTGGGGGACTGAAATTTTCAGGGAATGTTCTCAGCCTGCATACAACTTGAAAACCCCAAACCCAGTCCCCAGGTACGCTCCTAGTTCACGTGCGGCCCTGTGAAAGTTTTGGCGGGAAAATTGTCAACTCGAGTACCAGAAAAGTTGAGAGGCTCAGATTTTAGGAGAATATTCCTAATATTTTAGATTTACATATAGGCAAAACGCATAAAAACGGTGTCATCGCAATTTCCACCGCAACACGTGATCACAGCGCAAAATTTCAAAAAGCTGTACCAATTATGTGAAAAGTATGAGCGGTCATGTTGCGGTAATTGGAATGAAAGATGATAACCAACCACCATCGGACCAGCTTGTCCCATAACGAACTTTTGAAGAATATACTGCATGCGGTGAGCAATGTTGGCAACAGTGAGCGGATTGAGCAGAGAAAGAAAGATGTGGACTTTGCATTGGCCAAAATGTAGGA